ATTATGAAGTGCACCCCAAGCTAATTTCATAAAATGAAATGATAGGAGAAAAATCTAACCAATACAATTCCTTGCTGTTTGATTGCCTATATACCTGTTGTATTTAACTGCAACTTGAAATTTTAGTTACAGACCTGAAATATTAAATTTATAAAACATATTTAACTTTCCGTATTAAATTACTTTCCTAACACCCTCAGACACACTGTCAGTCCCCAGTTGTTCAAAAGGTAGATAGCGCTATCCACTGGATAGCACAATTGGTTTCCCAAATATGCTGAATAGTGATTTATCAGGCCCCAGTTGTTCAAAACCTGGATAGCGCTATCCACAGGATAAATCACTATCCAGTGGATAGAGATTTATCCGCTGGATAGCACTCTCCACCTTTTGAACAACTGGGGCCAGGTGGATAGCACTATCCAGCTTTTGATCAACCTAACTAAGGGATAACATGAGACTATGAAATTCTAAGGGAGCTGCAGACAGTAATGTGTACTCTATGTAACAGCATATATAACCTATTAATCCTGAAACTGAATTTCCAACATCAATTATCAGCCTATGAATATTTATATTTTCCAAAAGTACACAGATGAATCAAGTTACAGACTAAATATTGATTTCTATCATATGTAAATTGACAAGTAAGAAATTTGTACTCACCTTGGTCAGTTGTCACAATGAGGGGTTCTGAATAATCCCCAGTAAGTTTAAACTGTTGAAAAATACGTAAAATAGTTTTCGTGGCAGCCACTTGGATAATATATTGCGTACCCTCCTCTAAGTTACTAAGAGTTGCCTGCCAAGTATTCCATCCAGTTATGGGCACGTTTTTAAAATTATCTATTTTCGATTGATACTTTTTGTATCTTACAATGAAATTACGAGAGTCACTCATAAAATTCTCATCTTCAGGATGTGGTGTCCATTTGACAGTAATTGATGTGCCCTCTACCAAATCCAAGGTGATATTAGGTGGTGGAATGTTCCTACCTGAAAGAAATAAATACAGCACAATACATCAATTTGTAGGTAAAGGTGATAGTGCATACTTAGATCTGTACATGTTAAGTGAAATAACAGCGAGCTTTTTCATGAGAAGTATTACAATTGAATGGGTTATGTGTAGGTGGTTTCTGTACTCTTTACAGACAGCAGTTATCTTGGGTACCTCTAAGTATTTCTATTTACAGAAATCCACACTCAGTCCTGAGTATGCATAATTATTTTGTTGTTGTGGTTGTTGTTGGACTTAAAAGTGTTTTCAAAGAGTATTTCAAATTTAGAATTCTTAATAAAGTTTCCCTAATGCTTTAGCAAGACTCTCATGTAACTCCTGCCAAAATAAAGATAACTTTTCGTTTCTTTCAAATACTTGCTTACGATGTCTTATTCTTGCAATCTCAACTAATGACTACTAATCGTCATCATAGATACAATACTATTAATTAAAGATAAAATAATTACCTACCGGCGTCCACCATTATAGGACTATAAACTACAACAAACACCACAGCAATCAGCTTTCTGCTCATTTTATAAGCTTAACTGAAATTTTTTCTGCAATAAATATAATAGCAAAAGATGTCAGTTTTAATTGCGTTGTCACGTTTTACTGTTTTAAGTGTGCCTACCATGTAATCAATAGCACAAACATCCATTGACGTGAAAAAAATGACAACAACAACAGGAAAAACTTAAGTCTTAAGCTTAAACAAAAGCCTTTCCTGCGCCTGATGCTTATTTTCATCGTTGTGATTTATCCCAGCGTCTCTGGTGCCAGCAGAAGCTATGAATGGCATTCAGTGAACGTACGCCTAACTTGGCGGCTTTATTCTTGTCAAATTGTAAATGACTGTGCTTATTTTAAGTAGTTAAGGAGTGTAGGTTCTAAACATTTACTTATCAAATTTCGATTGAGCACGAAAGCCTGATCCTAAAAGTCTTCTTTCTGAAGAACCATAATTTCTTATTATCCAATTTTGATGGTACTTACGGTTCGATTTTCAAATACCAGAGAGTTTCGTTGAGAGTATTTTTGCTGGAGAGTCGTGTAGAGCAACACTAAAAAGGTTTCAAAATGACAAGGCGGGTATCTCGCGTCCTTTTATTCTTTCATGGTTGTCAGTTGCCAGTGCAATTTGCAAGCCGTTGAGGCCGCGTAGAAATGGCGGGAAATTCTCGTCCCAGGATGTCTCTTCCGGAGTCGGTCGGTCGGGTAGTTTAGCCTTAAAGAGTCGGGTAGTCTGCATCCTCGGAGACCCAGGGGCAGTCAGTCGGGTCAAGAGAAAAGGCGCGACGAAAGTTTTCGCCGTACTTGAAAACTTTCGTCGCGCCTTTTCTCTCGACCCGACTGACTGCCCCTGGGTCTCCGAGGATGGGTAGTCTGCCCGGGGGGGCACTTTAGGAATTTCTGGGTGGGAATGTGCCGCTGGGACTCTGGAGCATTTAACCTATACCAGAGCTAGTTCAGCTGAATTTTGCTACCCTATACTAGAGTAAACTCCCCAAATCCCCCTATCCACCCCTATCCTAGAGTAGCCGTTTCCCCAGTCTAGATAAAATCTTCAACCAACCGATCAGTTTCTTGAAAAATGATACCCTATTCTAGACCCAAACGCTCTGATTTATATGCCCTATCCTAGAGTAAACTGCTTGAAAACCATACCCTTTACAGCGGCACATACCTATATAACCCATATATGGCAGTACCCCCGGGGTAGTGTGCTACACAGCCGTTATTAGTGTCGTCACGCAACGCTCCTCCCCACTGGTGGGGAGGAGCAGTGGGGAGGAGCGTTGCGTGACCACACTAATAACGGCTACTAGGCTTTATGCAGACGTGGTCAATCGATGAAAATCGAAAATATCGGAAATCAATCGATATCATTGATATTAATCCATTTAATCGGCCGATTAATCAGTATCGATTGATGTCGGAAATCGATAGAAATCGAAGTCACAGGAAAAATAATTTATCGATTATCATCGATTAACAAAATCGATAACAATCGATAGCAATCGATAGTAGTCGATAACAATCGATAAAAAGATACCATCGATTTCTATCAGAAAATCATCGATATTAATTTATACAATGATGTGAATGCTACGCGCGCTGTGATTGGTCGTTGCCCATGATCTATTAGATTACAGATACATGGATGACATCACGGAAAACTTGTTTTCTTTGTTTTGTTCAACATGGCACGCGGTTTTGAAAATGTTTGTCAGATTATTTCGGATTGAGGCAAGTGAAAGCTTCGGAAAAAGTTTAGCAGGAGCTATTTACAAAGAAGAAAAATGGAGAAACGGAGACCAAAAAAGCTATTGACTACTTGACAATGCCTAAACTACAAGAAATCTTCACAGCAGTTGCCATCGTGTGTTTTCGCTACGAGAGACTCGCTGTTTTGCAAAATGTTTTCGCTATTATTCTTCTTTGAGCAAGAAAAGACGGTGAAAAACTTTTCGAAGAAACTGTACACAACTAAGATAAAGAAGAAGCTAAGATGAAAAGTTGGGTTTGGGACTTAAAAAATGCCTAAACTAGCACAAATCCTCAAAAGGTCAAGCGGTTCGAGGCAGGTATGTGTATCGGTCTTTTTCTTTTCTGATCATTGTATAAAACAAATAGATTCCATGTTGCCGTGGGTCTGTTCAGTAATAGATCACAGAGGACGTCAAAATGTGGTAAAAACAACAGTGACACACTCGCCTGCGGCTCGTGCGCCACTTCTTTGTTTTGACGACATTTTGACGTCATCTGTGATCTACTACTGAACAGACGCACGGCAACATGGAATCTATTTGTTAACTAGACCACGAGTAGTCCCCATTTTTCCTCAGGGATAGTAAAGCGAGCGAAACGCGAGCGCGCGTGAAAATCACCCCACGCGAGAAAAGGCGACGCCACGTGTGGCCTTTTCTCGCGTGGGGTGATTTTCACGCACGCTCGCCTTTCGCTCGCGCTAATATCCCTGAGCAAAAATGGGGACTACTCGTAGTCTATATTAATCGAAGTCACAACTTTTTTCCTTTAACGATTTCTATCGATCGATATCGGAAATCGATATTCGCCGATGATTAATATCCATTACTATCGATTATCGGTTTATCAATTAACTACATCTGGCTTTATTCGTGTAAATCTCTAAACACGTTTTGAAATGTAGTTGCAGTTATTCAGCTTTTTAAACTGGTTTTGAGCGAAATCAACGTCGAAAATTCTAATTGACATAACTTACAATGTATTGTCAAATTTTGACACAAATCCGCAATTAGTGAACCCGGTTAAAAGCCCTACAACCGGATATTCGATATCACATCTAAAGTACGCCTCATGAAATGATAAATAGAAGTTCGAGTTCCAACCTAAGACATCTCACGTCTCTTTGGTTGCATTGAAACCAGCGTTCAGGGAGCGTTCGAAATATCTTCCTTTCATACATTTTCAGCAGTTCGCTATTTAGCTGCTATTTTAACAGAGCCTTATCACGCGCAACTATCGCTAAAGAAAAGTTCTTTGCGCGCTGCGGTCACGTGGCGAAACCATCCGTCCCATTGTTAAAGCACATATTGATTGCGGCCAGGATTGGACCTGGACTGCGGCGAGCCGTCTCCAAACACAGGGCGCAGAGGAGTTATTTGTGACCTCGATTGTTGACTGAAGTTAAATTTTACGGTTGATACCGCGCATCGCCTTTGTTTTTATACTAAAGAATGGAGCAAACCCACAGGGCGCCCACCCAATCTTTTTGGGTAGCCGATTGTTATTCTGATAGTAAATGTACTGGATTTACCGTTTGCCTCACCTATACCGATATACCGCTAACTATGTATATAAATCAATTATAAATAAACGTTGAATTACTTACCTGTTGTATGTAGTCGTCCTTTTGCCTCAAAAGCGGTTTTTTGAGCGATTTTGAAGGAGTTTGAGTTCGCCTTTGTCTGATCTGTTCCTTATAATAGAAGAACCTTTGATTATAAGGAACAGTCAACGGCGGAGTCCTTCCATTAAATAAATATATCGTTATTATCAAATGAAGCTTATGATTGTCAAAAGGTTGCCAGATGATGTTTTAATAAATATCAGAAGGTAAATTTTTGTTATAAAAGCAAGAAAAGATTGGGTAATAATAAAACATACTCCTTTAACTTCCTGTTCACCTGTAACCAATCCGCTTTTCATGTATTATTATTAATGGCTTCATGATGTCGCCGAAACGTGGTTTTCACTAGCGACCGAGTCGGAGTCGGAGTCGGAGTCGTAATCAGAAGCGTAGAGCTTATGATCTAGCGAAAACAGCGTTCCGATTACGACTCCATCGCTTACGTCCCGCTTATGATCTAGTGAAAACCAGATTGTCGGAGTCGGAAGCAGAAGTAGAAGAACCAAACCAATCACAAAGCGTGAGAACGAGCATTCTGATTGGCTTATCCTTCCGCTTCTGCTTCCGACTCCGACAATCTAGTTTTCACTAGATCATAAGCGGAACGTAAGCGACGGAGTCGTAAGCGGAGTCGGAAGAAAATGGAAACGTTCTGATTCTTCTGACTCCGATTCCGTCGCGCTTATGACACCGCTTACGACTCCGATTTTTGATTTTCACCAGGTCATAAGCGCTCTTACGACTCCGCTTACGACTCCGACTCCGACTCCGTCGTTAGTGAAAACCAGCATGGTTACTTTTTACATGTTTGATCTTTTGTTGATTATAAAAATTCTGTATGCCAGGCTTTTGACATAGTTTTGAATGTACAGGCTTTGCATGCTGATTTGTCAGGCTTAAAGATTAGACCATTAATTTTTTTTAAAACAAAAACATTTTGTATGTCGTTAGGATAAAAGCAAAATCTTAAGGGCAAGAAAACCCCCATGTTTGGTCACCTCTCCAAAGCGACTAACAATCCAAAACACCAATGAAAGCTTCCCAGTAAAAGCCCCACAGTTTTACACTTCGACCACGCGGGTTTTAACTGAGTTTTTCACTAACAACTTGTCACAACACTTGTCATGCAATAAATTCTGTTCCAATAAGTTGATGTATCGGGCGGGACCTCTACTCTGCAAGGGTCCCTTAAGGCTGGTTTTCACTAGCGACGGAGTTGGAGTCGTAATCAGAAGCGTAGAGCTTATGATCTAGTGAAAACAGCGTTCCGATTGCGCTTACGACTCCGTCGCTTACGTTCCGCTTATGAAACCGGAAGCAGAAGCGGAAGAACTAACCGATGAAAAAGCGTGCACGTGGGAACGTGCATTGTGATTGGTTTATCCTTCCGCTTCTGCTTCCGACTCCGACAATCTGGTTTTCACCACATCATAAGCGGAACGAAAGCGACGGAGTCGTAAGCGGAGTCGCAAGAAAATGGAAACGTTCTGATTCTTCTGACGCCGATTCCATCGCGCTTATAACTCTGCTTACGACTACGACTGGGTCTTGTCACTGATGCTGAGGGTTGGACTTAAAGTTCGATTCTCATAATTTTGTATCCTAGCTTTTTATCGTTTTTAGTGTTTTAAAGTTTTTGCAAGCCGCAATAAATTGGCCCCACGATCGTTTAAAAAAAAAAAGAAAACTTTAAGCAATGCCGAGCGGCAAAAGAAAAAACATTTATAATTACTATATACCTTTGAATTATTATAATCATATTAAGTTTTGACGTTCGCCGAGCAGTATATGAACGCATCGCTTCGTTTGTCAAACTGTTTGCCGAAAGAATTGTTTGCTTAAAAAAAAACAGGAATATCATTAGAAATCTATGTATCAAAACAATTATTGTTGTATTAAATTGCAAATCAAATTTAGTCCGAGGAAAGATGAGTTGCGAAGAGTCCTTCGTTTTTCAACAAACGTTCATATTTAGTGCCCAAAATGATTTGCCGTGACTTCATAAGGTAATTTTTAAATTATAAGGCTTGTAAAGTCCATAACGTTTGAACCGGGAGATTGTAGTAATATGAATGCCTTCAACAAATGCAAACAGGAAATTTGCGACGACATCCGGTAGTCACATCGTAATGCATTGGTCGAAATGAAATGAGGTCAATCGTTGACGATCCAATATACAGCTACACGGTTTCTATGTTATAGAGAATGAGCTTTATTGTTTGCTGAGAGGTATAGAGTGCATTCTAGCTCCGACCGCTTGGATTTTTCAGGCCTCTGAAACTGAACCATTCTCGAAAACCGGATAATGTGTTTATTGGTTGAAACAACGAACCAATCGAGATCTAAAACTGATTTCAAATTATTTTTCATACATCTGTACTAATGTCGTGGCAACTGGCTTGGAATCGCTAACACATGTTTTGCGTGCAAGCCTTTAAACCAAATTTTAATACATAATTAAATCAATGACGAAATCGTACCGCATATCAAGTGATCTATACGATTTCCATGATTATAGAAAAGAATGATTTATATAACTTTTTGCTATGAATTGTTTGTGATGTGCGTGGGATGTTAACCCTGCCGTGTACCTCTATATTAAAATCTTTTAATCTTCCGCAAAAAGAAATGAATTTCCGATGAACTTAAATTGACTGAATGTCACCGTGACAGAAAAAATATCTCCTCTATCTTAAAAACTTAAAAGTTGGATCATTCTCAGCAGCCGCAGGGAACAGGACCTTATTTCATGAATTGAAATATATAAGGTGCTGTATATTATATTCTGTTACCGTTTTTTATAAGGTTCTGTGCCCAGCTGCTAAGAATGATCCCAAAAATCACTAGAAAAAAAAATACAATGGTTAGTACTTCCTGCATGGTGAAATTGATTTGATATCTTCGTCGTAAATCTACAGGAGTATTTTTTGTACAGGTATAAAGGCAGTCAGTATTGACTTAAGCACAAAATTGAACTAAAAACAGCAATCAATCCAAATCCCCTTTCATCTGAGCCAAAATGCAATTTAAGGCCTGTTTACGTGAAGGTGGGGGACCCCAGGTAGGTGAGGTAACATGTGGCGGGTTTTAATTACCCCACCTAACATGTAAACGTGATCACATTAAAACGAGAGATTGTATGGACAGGCGGGTTACCCCACCTAAACGGGTTACGTCACCTACCTGGGGTCCCCCACCTCCATGTAAACAGGCCCTTAGTTGAACATCTCTGTTCGTCTTTCCCTTTTTTTTCTTTTAATAGAGTCACTCCTAACTCAAAGACTTGCATGAATAACGGTTTTTTTCATGCGTTTTTCTGCAGGTCTGATAACAGATATTCTTATCTCTCTGGACGACAAATATTTGTATTTCGGTAACTGGCTTCATGGAGACCTCAGACAGTATGAAATAACGGACACCAAGAATCCTAAACTGGTTGGCCAGGTAGGTTGGTCAAGGCTTTCATAAAGGCTCAAGACAATATTCAAGTAGAGAAACACAGGAACTTGAAAGACACATAATAACTACCGGTACATATTAATTACGAATGCGCTACACATGTATATTCTACAAATGATGAAATATTTAAGGAATAGATCACAGTTTCTATGGGTTTACCGGCGTGATAACCCACGCAAGATGTTAGGAGAGCTTATTAAGCTTTGTATGAGTTTACCGGCAAAATAAACCATAGGTTTTTAACCAATCAGAACGCGGCCAATATCTTTATTAGTTGTTTTCTAAAATTCAATATATTACTGTGAAAAACATTTGCGTTGTATGCTTGAATTCCTCGTTTAACACCGACTTCTTGACCACAGCTTTTTGCTTTTTGTTCCGGGGGAAACTGACAGAACTATTTGTCCATCTTTTAAACTCTGGTTAAATTACTTCTGCTGGCACAGGCTACATCTTAGTCACTTTTGAGCAAATGTGATTTCGCAATCACAACTTAACGCAAAAACGGAATGTTATGCCAGCCGATTGTCAAATATCAAACCAAAAGCTCAAAATAAGGTACATCCCTAGGTGCATACTAACCGAAATTTTCTTCCCGAAACCTAAACAACCCATTCTGGTAGGTAACTCTCTTGAAAACGCACCCTTATAGTCAACCCAGTCGTGAAAATGCGACCCCGTCCAGCGGCTAATCCTCATTAGGCCATTACTTAATGGCATCCCCACCCCCCTCCCTTCCTCCGGCGTTTTCATGTTTAACACCTGTTAGGTTCTTCCTTTCCTGCCATCAAACGCTTTTTTCTGAAACTACGTAAAACTAGCTGATCGGTAATTCTTGTGAAACACTGGAGACAAACCAAATTCGTTTACGATCGTTATAATCTTTAACATGTGATATTTTTCTGTCTTCGCTCTTCATTGGTGGTAGTATAACCAAAGATGGCTCAGTGAGAGTGATAGAGGATAGTGAATTAAGTGAACAGCCTGACCCGTGCTATGTGAAGGGAAAGAGAGTTGAAGGTGGGCCACAGATGTTTCAGCTAAGTCTGGACGGAAAGCAAGATCATCGCTGTACAGTGTATGGGACAACCAGTTTTATCCCAGCCTCTCCAAGTATGGCAGTCAGCGTTTGCATTGATAAGAAAAGATAAACAAATTACTTAATTATTTCGTTCCTCGGAAGTCTGATTTTATGGACTGCGGACGTAATCACACGACGATGACTTAAAAGAAGTGAAAACGCGGCGTTCTTTAATCGTCTCAATTCTAAATTCATCGCGATTTTCCCAACTTGCTTACCGTGTCAAATGTAGTCGAACTCTCTTGGAGCTGAATTCCTGACTATTCAAGTTCACAAAGAAAGAGAAAAATTCGTTGTCGTTTGCTCACGTCCTCCATAAATTATAATAGGCGATTTATGTCGAAGCAGCGCAGTAACGGTAAAGAAATGTATAACTAAAAATTTTAACCATATGTCATGTGGGGAGTCTTTGTGCTAACTAATTGAACCTATGATGATTTTCCTGTTGCTAACTCCTTGAGTATTTTCGTATTTTCTTAAAAAATACCCTGCCATTCTAGAAGCTTCTACTTCCCCATAAGCCAGTCATTCAACGGCCACCATTTTAGAACGGCCGCTTAGTTCTCTCTCCAAGTTGACAGATGATTGACTGTAGCATTTTTTTCGTACGCTTTTCTTAGCAGGAAAGGTAGCATGTTGCTTCAAGTGGACGTTGATACAGTGAATAGTGGCCTCAAGTTGAATCCTGATTTCTGCGTTGATTTTGGAGAGGAACCCGATGGGCCCGCCCTTGCACATGAATTGCGATATCCGGGAGGAGACTGTTCCTCTGACATATGGCTGTAAAGTTTCATGTCTTGATCCCTCCACAGTATGGAATTCCATCATTATATAAGCGAATTATATAGCCAAAATTCATTTGTTCGGTTTAACGCAAACCAAGAACTATGTAACGGCCAACGTAACCTTTCAGTGATTTCAGTTTTTGCGCTGTGTTCGGATACGTCGGTTTTAATAGATTCTTTCCGAGCTCGTATTGTACGTGTTGTTACAATGTGTAATTAGAATTTTATACTCTAGATTGTTGGGTAACATTTTACCCTCAATTGCACTTTAAGTGTGTACTCGTTTTTTATCAACTTTTAACAAGATAGGATAAAGGGGACAGAGAAGGCATCCCCTATACACACCCTATTCCACAGGTAATTCGTCTCGAGTTATTTTTAGAATCGGGATAAAGTTACCTCGCGCGCTCCGTGGATGTTTCGTGGAGTTTTCGCATGACTAAACGCCGTGCAAAACATGTCGGGCGAAAGGCAATGAAAGCGCGTAAAGAGATCGAGAGCATTCCTGAATATTGAAGCGAAATGAGTCGCCGCTCACCTGGGAAAAGGGAATCGCTGGACTCTGACAACCCGTGAAATCAGTTTAACTCGACGTTGTCGTAACCTCAGTACTTTAATAAAATGAGAAATTTCGCCGGTCTATTGAAACCGGTCGTTTATACAATAAAGCAAGTAGGACGCCAAGTGTTATTTTTGTTGAATAATAAAAGACTAATAAAAGAATACATTATCAAACCAGAAATTGCTCTCTTCAAACTGTAAATTATAAATGATCCTGAGAGAATATTCAGGGTGTTAAGGATTTCCCTGCTATACTGTTAGCTCTATACAAAAGAGGAAGGGCGATTCTTTTTTAATTTCCGTTTCGCTGACACAGCTTTAGCAGAAATCTCTCTTCAGTAGTTTTCGTCGACAAAACGAATAGCAATATCGCTCTCCGCGTCTTTCGCCATTTAAGCTGAGAGTAGGTCATCCACGCGGAACACATTCGCGCTATGTGATTGGCTGTTGTCTAATCCCCCTCGGGATCTGTGGTCTTAAAAATAACTCGAGACGAATTACCTATGGAATAGGGTGTGTATGGGGGATGCCGTCTCTGTCCCCTTTATCCTCTCTTGGCGGAAAAAATAACAAGCAAAAGCAAATATTTTGAAAGTATTTTATCTTTAAAGCAATACTTCCCAAAACTGGTGTGCAGATAATTTTAAGACCGTATTTATCGAGCCGGAATTCGGAAGATTATTCTTTGCCGGAGTAACATCCAACGGAGACGCCTCAGTTCACAAGCCTAACTGATATTTCGCAAAGTCTTTTTTTCACGCTTTGTCATCTGAGACATCCAACAAACTGCATTTTGTGAAAGGTTAGTTGCACACAAGAGATAAAACCTAACCGTAGCGGCTTATGAGAGATCCTTAAAATAAGAGCACAAAACAGGAAAGGTCTAATTATTCCGATGGGATTCATGCAAATAGTGTAATCAACAAACTAAAAGAAATACATTTTGGGGCGCAAATAATAGCGGTGCCATCGAGAGGAACGCATTCACTCGCCGCCAGTCCCTACGCAGACCAAAGGATTTGTAGTAAATGGTGTTCTTTCTTTGTACTATCCTGCAGTTCTGTTTTCCTTGGCATACTTTTATCAAAGAAATTCAGGAAAAATTTAGGAACTATTGACATGAAATAAGTTATAATTTGAAACTGTGGGGATACCTTGAATGATGCACGGAGGCGAAATAATCGTTGTGTGTGTCCATCAAATAGGGTCGATTGGTTGTGGGCTGATTAAAAAAGGAAGTTCAAGTTAACACAAAGCCTAATTCAGCAGCAAATGTTTAGTTATTTAGTGGGGATAGATATACACTGGACGAAAAATTGAATTTAATGATATTTGCCTTAAAGACAAATCTAAGACAAATCTGATGTCAGATTTGTCCACCCATCAAATGTCCCAAATGTGGGACAAATCTGTTATCACATTTGTCTTGAGGAAATGTGAGACAAATGTGATTCAGATATGCCATTATATTTGCCCTTGTACAAAGATATCTTAAAACAAGACAAATACGAGAAAAATACCGTTTTGACTTCTCGTTCCAGTAAAATCGCTATATGATTTTCTGAATTGTTTAGAAACAAGGCTATTGTTTGTCTCATTAATTAATTTATTTATTTGGTTATTTTTGACGCAATGGGTAACCCTTGTCAAGTACTCGTAGATGCATGTAGGTGTAGATCTGTAGAAATTGCAATGAGGGATTTTCTGGCTAGCTATCATTGCGCCTTATTCACACTGGATCAATGCTCCGATCAACTTACCGTACTTTATATGCTGATTAAAACGTTTACAGAGGCTCGTTATATCTCGAGGTTCCACTGTATTCAAGTCAAGTCAAGTCAAGTCAACTTTATTTAGGCAGAGTGGCCCTATCAGCCATTGGCTGGTATCAATAGGGGCCCTGCGTAAATTACGACTACACGATAAAAATTTAAAAATTAAAAATTCTTTAAGTGAAGTGAATAAAAGGGAAATTAAAAATTACTTTAAGTGAAGTGAATAAAAGGGAAATTACCGTCTCTTCATAAAAATCACAATTTGTTTATATCCATGTATTAAAAAGAAGTCTTTTGAAGTTTTAGCGTATGCTAGAAAGTTACCTTGCGTTGCAAGTGTGAGGCTCACTAGCCTTTTTTATTACCAAGATTGAAAAGTTGGATTAGATGTTAAAGGAAAGAATTCCTCTTCCCTTTGACTCCTTAAAACTGATGAGTTGTCAGTGTTTTGATCATTATGCTGTGCCACTGAAAATATGGAAGTTCAACTCTAGTCAAAAGACCAAAATTATTCAGCCATATGGCAGAGTCTTATTTGCACTACCACCCTACACTATAGGGTCTAAACCACATCGCCATATATACCGCTAGACATAATGAAAGACCAGGAGACTAGAAAAAATGTTCTTCGTTATTTCGGAGTCCCACTGTACAATCACTGAACTCTTTACGTCAACGTCATGTTTAAGCAATAACAAATATAAGATAAATAAGTAAATAAGTACCGTGACAATTTTGAAAACTATAACTTTTTTTAATAATAAAAAGAATACTTTATTAAAATCTTATAAAAACTACACACAAAATTTCAGTAAAATATTCATATGAAGAAAACGTCCATATCAATAGAGTTATAAAAAATCAATTCAACAGTCCCAGTGGATGGCATAAAAGTCAATGCGCTGATTTTAATAAGATAAGGTTCTGATCCATGAGGCGAGATATAAATCTATTGCTGTTAATTTTCCGTAGCAATTTCCCGATAAAAAGACCTAAATATAGAAAAAAAAAAAAAAAAATAATACTGTGAAACCTCCATTGAGCGGACACCTTCGGGACCTTCCCAAGCGTCCTCTTAATAGAGGGTGTCTGCTTAACAGGGTTTGTAAAAATTGTGCAATGTTTAACTTTCAACGGTTACTCTGTACTGTGATAAAGTTCCATGTTGTTGAGGAGGCTAAGGAAGCCGTGCTGTACGTTGTGCAAGACTCTCGGTATAATCTACAGTTTATCGACAGCCAAATGTATTGATTTACTTTTATTAATCGACTACAGCACGTTTTTCAAGGACGTAATCCAATACTACTATTGTTAATTCGGTCCGCTGTCCGCTTAATAGAGGTTATCAACAATAAAAATTAGCCAAATACAATTTATTTTAGTGTGCGCGTCCGCTTAATAGAAGTGTCCGCTGAATAGGGGTTCGTTATAAAGAGAAATTTAAGACGTAATTAAAATTTCGGGACCCGGTTTAGTGTCCGCTGAATAGAGGGTGTCCGCTTAATTGGGGGTTCGTTTACTAGAGGTTTTACTATAACAATAATTATAGTAAATATCAGTATTACGTGAAATCCATTTCAGAATTTATGCTTAAGTCCAGATAAGTGCTGCTGATAAGTACACCCTATTCTCTAGTCCCTTCATCTTGATCGTCTTTTTGAATGAACGCGAATGCGCGAAAAGTACTCGCGTTCAGATATTGTGACGTTAGTTACGTCAGCGATAGAACGCCAATCAAATGTCCACAGCTACACGCGCGGTATGTTTGATCACCATTTTGACAGCGTCTTCAGTTCATTTCGAAAAGTTCTTTGTCAGCTTGGCCCTTAGTTTTCGTTGTCTTTAGACTCGTATTTTATGGTTCAATCATGGCTACAAGCAGTCCTGCTGAAGAAAGACAACTTTTTGAACAGGAGAACAGGAGAACAGGAGACTAGATTCTATTTTAGAGAGCCAGAAGAAACTGAAAGAAGCAAACGCAGCAGTTCAGAAAGATAACGTAACTAGCAAAACAGGAGCGACTAAATAACAGCAAACGCGGCTCAAAACTGTCACGCAGAGAATCTCTAAAGTCACTCTAAAGGAGACGTTCCAATGGATTTAAGGGTAGGTTTACTTTCTTGTTGCTTTGATGATATAAGAAATGCTTTTGATCGTGAGAGTTTGTGCTTATTCTTTGGAGCTGAACTGATAGCGTGTCTTCAAAGGCGCCGACTTGCCTGCGTTGTATCAAACATCACAGGAACCTACAACTTACCGTATTTATTCGATTAACCGCCCTGGGCGCTTATTAAATTTTTGCACCTTGAGAGTGGGCGCTTATTCGAGGTGGGCGCTTATTCGAGGCTGGGCGCTTATTAAATTTTCACCATTATCAGCAAGTGAAGTATGTTTATTTTGCAACAAAACAATCAATGCTAATAACAAAATGCGAAGAAGTAACAAAGCAAGCTTTCTGTAAAATACTCTGAAGAAAACTCCGTCCTCGGGGAAGTCTCTTATTGGAATTTATTCACTCAAGTGGGTGGGGTGGGGGTGAGCGCTTATTTGAGTTTGATTGGGAGGAGGAGGGGTGGGCGCTTATTCGAGGCTGGGCGCTTATTAATTTTTTCTGCCTTTAGGATGGGCGCTTATTCGAGGTGGGCGCTAATTCGAGGTTGGGCGC